TGAAAAAAAAAAGCTGCGCGTTTTAAAAAACCTGGTCCAAAACGACGTTGTTTTGACTAGGCTTCGTTATAAAATTAAAATTAAAAAAAATTAAAAAATAAAAAGCACGCAACAGCCTAGCAGCACAATGCCCACTCCATTTAAGCATTTCGTCGAACACCTAGCGTGCGTCTCCTAGTCTGAGCAGAGGTGCAAAATGCAGCACATTTTATGAATTTTCCAACGAACGGAGGTACAGGTGCACCTCTTTGCGCCTGCACGGGTCTGCGAATGAGGACAAAGAATAATAAGAAAACAAAAAAGTCTCAAAACCCTTAAATTATTTTAATTATATCAATAAAATAAAAAAAACATATATTTCTAATATACTGCACAAGCGCTATCTAATTAGTAAGTTAATACATTGTTAGTGGTGAGTTTACTTGAAAGGTAATATCATAATCCAAACGGTTCATTTTCTAAGGCCTTATTGAAGAATAGTTCATGCAAAAATTCAATCCAATTGAAAATCGTTTAGTTTTCTAACTATGATTAAATAAATGGATAACACAATATTTGACAAACATGACAATATTCATAACAATAATCAGACGACTAACTGATTTTGGGTGAACTTTTTGCATGAATGATCCTTAAATCACGACCTAATAAAAAATTAATGGTTTGGATTATAAGATTGCATTATTGAATGGGTCAAAATGAATAGTTATAAATGTGGTAAAAAGATTCGAAAGCATTTATAATTGTATTACTCTATCTGGGAGATGGTTTGATCATTTATTGTATATGATCAAAACATCTGACTGCTTTCGAAAAGTAAGGAGAGGAGAAAGGGAGAAGGGAGGAAGAGAGGAGGGGAGAGTGGAAGAAGAACAATGGCTTCTTTCTCCTCAAAGTAAAAACGGCTCTAGAGTATTTTCTGAGAGAGAGGGGGCTAGAGTACTCTTATAAGATATTTCCTAGCTACCATGATTTATGGAATCCAGATTTTCAACCTTGGATTAAATGACTTTTTCTTATATATTAAACATTGTTTTATTGGATTTTGATCTTGATCCTTTATGCTAGGTATATTATTATGAACATATACGTATAATAAACCTACAACAACGTATGTAATTGTAAATACATTCATTATATATATATATATTTATATGACTAGCCTCTTGATTCACGTTCGCACACATATCAAAAGGCTTTTTCATTGTTTAGGTTTTTTAAATCTTTTTCTATAGAGAAATTTTTGTTGGACATTAACTCTATTTATTTTTTTTTGAATTATTTGTATTTGAATATATTATTATTTTATGTATTTGTCCCGTTAAAATGTAGTAGTTGCGTTTTGAAATACTTTTTTTTTTCTTTAACAAGAGCAATTTTGAATTATTTGGAAATTTAATCTTATGAGCTTGACGTTTGCTGAGTGTTTATAAATGATGTATATAAACAAGTATATCTCATCATCAAATCATAAGATTGCAACCACCACGTACGCTTTAACGTAAGAGTCAGATTTCAAACTTGTACACGTGGTATGGACCACCAGAATAATTGGGTATGTCCGTAGCCCGAGCTAAAGCCTAAAATGCAGGGCACCCGCAAGAACAAAGCAACAGAAATTTGGACCGACGGTAAGACATAGGTAGCCTGATTTGATTTGATCAACCTCTCCTCCCTCGTGAAAGAGAATATTACCAAGAAATAGAGCATTCACTATTGAAAGAGTATATCTCAACAAAATTTGCTGCCAGTAAATTCTGGACAATGCACATGCAGTGATGTCCCGATAATCATTGAGGGTGGTGGCTTGCATTTAAGTTTGAATTTCTCCTCAGGCTTGTGTACGATCATCTATTCGATGAGTAGACTTTTCCCATATCGGAGCCTTGAATTGTCTGATATATATAGGTCATAACCCAACGAATCTTGCCCCACTTACACACACACACACACAGATATATGTATGCTCCAACGACAAATGTTGAGGAAACTTTAATTACTAATTTTGCGTGATATTATTATGTGGTATTACTAATTTACGTGTTGCATATTATGTATAAGTTAATGAAGATTATTAACGCATGTGTTAAGTATATCAGTCAAATTTTATTAAGGGATTCCTCAAATAATTTTATTTGAGAGACTTTTTAGGGTTCCCTACAAATAAAATAAAAATAAAAAAAATTGAACAATCCAAACTGTATAATTTTCAAATCGTCATTCATAAATAGTCTTTGCAAAAGATTATGCAAATTGAAATTCATTAAGGCATCTAACTGGGAGCAAACAAATAGACGAATATGTTGCTTCAAGAAAAGACTATAATAACAACAATATGATTGAGTAGTCAAATGGTTTCATATTCAAGTAATTTTTTTGCAGGGATCTTTGAGGGAAAATCTAAAAACTAGACGGTTCGAATTATTGAAATACAATGCGTGGTGGGGCCTATAAGGGTGTCCCTCAATTAAGCTTACTTGAGATATCCCTTATAAGGGACACCCTCTCCACATTATATTTCAAATATCCGAATCATCTATCTTTTAGATATTCTTTCAATGATCATCTCTATAAAAAAAAAAAAAAAAAAATCATTTGAATTCGAAATTATTTGACCACTCAATTAATAGTTGTGATTTTAGTGCATTCTTGAAGCAAAGTGTTTGTATATTTTGTTGGTCACAACTAGATGTCTTAATGGTTTCCAATTAGACTAATTTTTTGCAATGGTGATCTATGAATAAAGACTTGAAAAATAGACGGTTCAAATAGTGAAATAAAATTCGTAGTGGGTCCCAAAGGATATCCATCAAATAAAATTATTTGAGGAATCCCTCAATATATAGAAGGGGACTATAATCTGGCCTTCTATGGTGATCCTCCAATCAATCAATTGCTAGAGAAAAGAAAAAAAGCCACAAAGTTATTTTCATCATGTTATCCACAAACAAAGCTGCACAACCCCATTATAAAATTTCCAATCATGATAATGTGCTAATGGTTATCATTTTAGTACTTTCTTGTTCATCTATTTTGTTGGTCATAACTAGATATCTTAATGGTTTTTTGATTTGTCTAATTTTTTGTAAGGATGATATATGAATGAAGACTTGAAAAATAGACAGTTTGGATCATGGAAAAGAAATTTGTAATGGACCCCAAAGGGTGTCTCTCAAATAATTATTTAAAAGATCCCTAAATAAAATAAGATTGTATAAATTCAGCTATGAGTGTGATGCCTGTCTTAACAAGACGTATGTTCTTTCTTACAGAATGGACACATCGGTAGGTAATTGTGTCACAAAATCCTAGCATAAATTACGGGTAGTTATGCATTGGGGACGCTAGAAAAACGCACGGAATCAAGTAATTAAGACTAGAGCTTGGAAATAATGAGGTAAGTAGTAAAACTTAGGGCAAAGTAGAGGTCATTTGGTTCCATGTATCTTTTTCTTCTTTATACCATATATAGGAAAACTAAGCAACTAAAAAGATACGCACTATATACTAGCAAGTAGCTGGGTTGAAAAAGGAGGAGTGGACTGAAGTAGGAGTGAGCTGTTTGATTTGAAATGTGGGAAAAAGTTGAGAGTAAGGAGAGAACCCTGAAGGGCAAAGAAAAAATAGTACCACTGGACTGGAGTCATGTGAGGGCATTTATATGGTGGGGTTTTGGTGTTTTTGCC